TGGTTCTGCCAGAGGTTTCTTCCTGTTCAAATGGAGTTTTTCCTTCCCACTGTCACCAAAGTGCTTGCTCACAGGGGGTCATTTGATTGTTGGTTTTTTTTTCTCTGTATCTGTTAGGGTCTACCTTACAATATCAAGTGCCTTGAGGCGACTGTTGTTGTGATTTGGCGCTGTATAAATAAAATTGAAATTTAACTGAATTGAATTGAAAATTGAATGAATGGAAAACACACTTCATTTACAGAGTATAAATGTGCAAACAGAATAGCTAAACTACACACAAGGTTGAAGTTACCCTTACCCTAATCATTTTATTCGCTCATCTTCTGGAAAAGAGATGTGCACAACGCTAAGCCACTTGTAAATCTGAAGCATTAGAAGCCTATAACCAATATGATAATCAAGTCCCTCCTGTGTTATTTTGGTACTGATGTCATACGTTCTAGTGTGGTTGAGTAATTGGTTTGTGAGTCAAAGCTGGGCTGTTATTAAAAGACACAAACAAAATAATCAGAAAATAAGCACTAAGAAAATATAAATAGAATTAATAAAATAGAATTACTTACTTTGGGCAAGATATCAGGAAGTCCAGAGTCAGGATGAGAAAAACAACCACTTCCACTCACCAACGGGGTTTGCTCAGTGGCCATAGAGTGATGGCGGTGTGAACGCCATTTCCTCCGAGAATACAGAGCCGTTGGACCAGGCCGCGAACCCTCCAGCACGCAGATTGGCAGCATCGAGGCCGGAGCACTGACCAGCAATGTTAAGGCAGGTGAGGAGTGTGTGTTGCGCTGAAGCAGCAATGAGAAAGAGTTTAGTGAGAGAGAGCCAGATCACTTGCCCTGACTTGCTCTCTCTGCACAGCAATGGTGCTCCCCAGTTTTGTGCCCTTAGCAAACTGAGTAAAAAGAGGGTTATGCCAAATCATGGCATCTAGCGCATTCAGTCTGACTGCCATGGTCCTTAAATCCTGGGATTGGGCAATGAGACTACCTTCAACTGCACCAAACACAGGGGCCTGCCTGGATAACAATGGGATTTTTCAGGGTGCAGAGCCAGGTCTCCAGAGCTCTACCCTAGCTATTACAAGTATCATTACTAACAGAGACGGAGGAGTAACTAAATATGAGCAGAAAAAGTGAGGGAGGGACAGGTGAAGAAGTTATGCTGTTAGCAACTTGACTAACCATTTGCTGCTGCATTAATCACATGCACTTCTAAGAACACTGTATCATTTTACCAGTATCTGTTTATATATTTTAATCACCATTTGATAATGTCTCTAGAGGCCGCACTTAAAGGGATCTTGTTCTGTGGAAGAAAAGTCAGGTGATCCGTGAAACCCATGTTTGAGATTCATTAGCTACGAACACTCCTTTCATATAAACATGCATATAAACTCCGGGTTAACTTGGCAAGTTGCTAATGAGCTGTTTTTGGCCACTTATCCTGCTCACCAGTGTTAGCGTAAGTGCGTACAGATATTGGAAGGATAGCCTGGGTATGTCTGTGAAGGTTCTCGGTCATCCAGGTAATCGTAGGCTAAGGAGCTTGGAAAGAAAAGAGTCTGGACTTTGTTTCTTGATGCCATTTCATCCGAGAAGCTCCTTCAGTTCAAAAAGCAATTGATGGAGAGTCCCAGATTTTTAAGCCCTATTGGAAGTGTCCCTGAGAGGGTCGTGGGCCCTGTGTTGTTCCTCTGCCTAATCAAGCCAAGGTGTGAAAAAAACTGTGGCTTATGAGCCAAGGTTTCGGGTGAACCCATTGTGAGACCTTGCCCCAACCTATCATGTGACTTACTGAGAAGAAATAACCCAAGATGTGAGTGGGCGTTAAGGCATTTGGGAAGGATCTCAAAACTGGATTATGAATGTCAGACAATTGGTGTCGTAAGCCTCCGCCTCTTTTCAAAGATGGTTGTTCACAGTGGACATATGTGACACATGACCCATACACGACACTTCTGCGTTCTATAGTGCTTTATTTCCAACTGTGCTTTTTCCTCTGCGGTTTCTGGCCCCTGCCCAAGACGCAGCCACTCCGTCACTCCCGTTGTGTGTGTGTCCCGCTCCTTCTCACTGCAAAAAATAAGGTTTCGTTCATCAACACAGTTCTGCACATCTCTTCCCTCCCGCCTGCACGCCGCTCCGTGAGCTCACTGCGTCACCCCTCCTCTGCAGCAGGTCAAAGACCACGCCCCCACCACAGCTTCCCTACTGCCTGACTGAGGCCGGGGTCATGGTCTGAACAGAGAGTGAATGGGCACCAC